TGCTTCGCGCTCCTTGGCATCTCCTTCTTCGCCCTCCCAGCCGTGAGTAGCGCTGGGGGCTGCTGCTACCCTCACGGGGCCTCTACGCTCTGATCCAGCAGGAAGCTCAAACTTCCCCTATAAAATAAGGGGTCGTGCCCCGTAGGGGGAGACCCCAATGGCATCCTGCCTGCAGGGTATCACTGCGCTCCTCCTTGTGCTCATCTCTCCTCTCCCTTCCTCCCCAGAGGAGCAGTGGGCTCTGCCCTGCACCCTGGAGCCCAGCAAGCCCCAGCCATTGCAGGGAGGCTGGAATGAAGGTGGCACCTCCAAGGGGCTGCCAGCTCCTGGGGGCAGCGATGCACCCAGCAGATTGAAGAGATACCTCATTTGGGGTGGTCAGGACTGAAGCTGGCATTGATGTTCCCCAAGGGCACGGGGGCGGATGTGGCTGCCCGTGAGTTGGCAGGTGGGTTCTGGTCTGGGTCCTCACACTGGCCCCTTCTCCCCGCAGGGCATCCTGGGCTCTGGGTTTGCCCTGAAAGTCCAGGAGCAGCATCGGCAGAAGCATTTTGAGAAGAGGAAGATGCCAGCCGCAAACCTGATCCAGGTATTGTACCAACGCCTGCCCCCGGTAGCTCCCATCCTCTGCTGCAGCCCAGGGCACTGCATGGCTGTGCCCCTGCTCCCCACCCATCCTGCAGGCTGTCCTAGGCTCCCCGTGCCTCTCCCCACAGCTGTATGGATGCCCTTTCATCCTCCCCGCTATGCCAGTCTGTTGCTGGGCTCCCTATGCACAGCTCTCCCACAGCCCTTAGCCCTGCCTTGCAGAGCTCAGCACATCTGAAACGTGCCCTGCTGAGAGTCTGATGGCACCGCAGCCCCGTGCCAATGCAGCGAGCCCTGGCACATCAGCTCTTTCGTCTGGATCAGCCTCCTCCTGCGGTTGCCACAGAAAGGGAAACTTTAGAAAAGCCTCCTTATCTCCTGAGTTCAGAGCCTGGGCACACAAAGAGAGCCCCTGACCCCTTTCCTCTATCTCCCACTGCCAGCCAGTCCACTGGCCCCGCTCTCACTCCTCCCCAGCCTTCTTGATGCAGCCTGGCTTCGCCTGTCATCATATCCCCCACCAAGGAGGCGAGAGGCGGCTGCAGATACATAGCTCTGGGCACAGGGCAAGACAAAGGCACCTGCAAGCACATGGCCTGGGAGACAAAGCGACCACAGTGACGCACCGCAGCTCCCGTGCTCGCACAATGTGCTCCCCCCCGCGAGCTGGGCCATCGCTGCTGGCAATCAGGATGCAGACAAGAGGCCGTGCTGGCTTTGATAAGGCCTCTCCTATTGTGATCGTTCTGCAATCGATGTCCCTGTCCCTTCTTGAAGCCTCAGCAAAAGAACAGACACAGGAGAACAGCTTGAAGCAGGCAGGGGCTGGGAGGGTGGCAAGCAGATTTCCTCTCTCCAGCGCAGCCGGTGGGGTTTGAACCTGACTTGGCCTTGGGAAACCTCTAGTGAGCCAGGAATTGCCCCAAAGCAGGATTTGATCAATGCAACCTGGGATCTGAATGAGCCAGAGAAATTTCCAGCCCACGCTGTCCTCTTTCCCTTGCCCAGCTCATTTTTTCAGCCCCTTGGAGTCTGTGGCTGGACAGTCGCCCAGAGGACTCTGGGTTGGAGGTTGGTCCTCTCCGATCTGAGCAGGGTTGACTGGTTCGCAGCAGACAGGCTGAACCCCCCAACAGGCACGCCATAGTTGCCATGTTGGGATGTTGGTACATCAGAGCTGCTTCTAGAGACGGGGAGGAGGAACCTGGGAGGCATCGTCCTCAAGACTGCGCTGCTCTGAGATGTCCACAGGCAGACTCCTGCCTGAGACCGTGACTGGGCGCAATGTTGGGTTAGCGGGGGCAAACTCCTGCATGCCTAGCTCTGCCCATGCACCGCAGTCCTGCCCTGTGGTGCTTGCCGCTGGTCCTGGTCTTGGGAGGGCTCCCTGCTCAGATGCTTGAATCATAGAAAATGAGGGTTGGAAAGGACCTCAGGAAGTCATCTCATCCAACCCCCTGCTCCAAGCAGGGCCAGCCCCACCTACATCATCCCAACCAAGGCTTTGTCAAGCCGGGTCTTAAAAACCTCCAGGGATGGAGATGCCACCACCTCTCTGTGTGGCCTGTTCTAGTGCTTTACTACCTTCCTCATGAGAGAGTTTATCCTAATATCTGACCTCAACTTCCCTTGCTGCAACTTGAGCCCATGGCTCCTTGTCCTGTCATCTGCCCCCACGGAGAACAGTTCAGCTCTGTCCTCTTTGCAACCCCCCTGCAGAGAGCTGAAGGCTGCTATTAAATTCCCCTCAGTCTCCTCTTCTCCAGACTAATAAGCCCAGTCTCTTCTCATCAGCCATGTGCCTCAGCCCACTAACCATTTTCATTGCTGTCTGCTGGACTCTCTCCAACTTGCCCACATCCTTCCTGTAGTGGGGGGCCCAAAACTGGACACAGGACTCCAGACTCTTCCCATGCCCCTCCACACTCACAACACCGGTCCCCCTGTGCCCCCAACTGGGCCATCACAGCCAGCCCTTGTGCCACCATGCCACTGACTCTCCAACTTTGAGGTCCCACAGCTAGAGGTGTGTGTGTGTGGGTGCCAAGAGGAAATCTCTTGGCAATCCCATGAGCCACCTAATTAACAAACCAGCCCATCGGTGCTGATGCACCCATCTGCCCCACAGAGCAGCAGTAGCTGACCCCCCTACCAGCACTTGCAAACTTTTCTCCCTTCCTTTCAAGTAGCTGAGCTGGGAGACCTTTCCAAGGCCAGTTTCTCCTCCCAAAGGAACTATTCTCATGCCCATCACCCTGTGAGATGGTCCATCCGACCATCTCATAAATGACTGTGTCTGTTCTTGGTTCACTTGGGAGGTAGGGGAGGGTGCTGTCCCAGTGCCAGAGAGGGGAAATTGAGGTACTGGGGGTTAAGAGACTTGCCCAGGGTTGCACAGGGAGTCTGTGGCAGGGACTCAGACCTACGTGCCAGGCTCCTGCTCTCACCACGGCATCCCCTTCCCTTAATGGCTCCCATGCTGCTGCTTGCTAACAGCTTCGCTCTCTCCGGCACAGGCTGCTTGGCGACTGTACTCGACCGACGCAAGCAGGGCCTACCTGACTGCCACTTGGTGTTACTACGACAGTATCCTCCCATCCTTCAGGTAGGCAAGGCGCCACGGGGGATGACCACGCGGGGTGGGAGGCGGGTGGTGGAGGGGGACTCGAGGCTCCGCATCCACCCATGGCGGCTACAGCCACAAATCCAGCCCTCCAGCTCCCGGTCAGAGACCTGCATCAGTTTGCTGTGGCTCAGCCCTGCCCTCCAGGATGACATGGGCTCTGGCTTCCCGAACCGGCAGGGCTGGGACTTCAGCCTCTGGATGGGGCACCCATGCTTGGTGCTGCTCACCCAGCCAGCCTCCTCGCGGCCGGTCCCATCAGATGCCAAGACTGGAGCAGGCTGCTGTGGAGAATGACAGCCTGCCTTGTCCCCGGGAAGCTGTAGCCCTTTCTCCAGATCCATGGAGGCTTCCCTTTTGAGTACGGTGGAGTACAGCTTTGAAAGTCACGTCCCGCTCCCTGCCTGGGGAGCCTCAGCGGAGGTCTCTTGTGCTGCCCCTGGCCCTGTCGAGGGCTGGATTGCTTCTGCTCTTCTGGGGTCCTTAAAACGGGGGCAGGTGCAGAATGACCCTGCTCTAGTAGTGGGGTAGTGGCTTAGAGGGGCAAGACAAGGTCTGTGCTCTGTGTTTAACCCCTTCAGCTTATCAGTTCGAGAGCCAAGAGCTTTTCCTTGCACCCCTGGAGCTGGGGGCAAAGGGGTTGCAGGGTCAGGTACCTTATCCATGGCTGCAGCTGGGAATCGGAGTGGAGAGATGGTGCCTGTCACCCCTGCACACCAGTGAGCTGCTGCTGAGGGCTTGCACACACCAGTGCCACAGTGTGTGCCAGAAATCCCTGTACACGTGGGGGTGACCCCTGTGTGCAGGAGTGTGGTGATCCCAGCTGCAGTGCGGCTGGTACCAAGCCTGTTCCCATGTTGAATTATCCCCAGCTAATCCTGGATGCAGCTTGCTCAATACTCTGTGTGCCCAAGATGCACCCCAGGCCAGTGGCCTGCCCCTTGGCATCCTGGGGTTGAGCTCCCTGTGGCTCTGAGCAGTTTCAGACTCAGGTTTTGGGCAGGATACCATGCACTGTGGGCAGCCTTTGGAGAAGCAGCCTCTAAAGGTTACCCAGCATGGGGTCCCTTCATGCAGGCCTTGGCTCTGGGACTGGGCCACTCCTCTGAGCTTGGCCCGCCAGGTGTTTACATCCAAAGCCCAACAGGTTTAAAAAGGCAAGATTTGCCCAGCAGAGGCACGTAGCATTGCCAGCCTCTCAGACTGGCAGCAGTCGCCCCGCTGAAGCCGGGAAAGTTGCTTCGGGATGAACCAGTCGGACCTGAGCTGAATGCACCTACAACCAGCTGAGATCAGCCTCAGGTTGCCACGAACATTTCCAGGCCTGCTTGCTCCTCTGATCTGCATGCCCCCACTTCCCGCAGGCTTTTAGGGAGAGGCAGGGAAAATGTGGGTATACCTGGGTTGCCATATAGAGTTGATGTCCACCCTAGCAGCCCCTTCTCTTTCCACTGGCTCCTTCCACTCTCTCTATAGCCCACCCCGGGGAGCTATTAAGCCAAGTCCATGTGGCTCTCCCTTTTGTCCTTTGCATTCTGCTGAGTTCGCTCCCCAGGATGGAGCAGCTGTTAAAATCCTTCACTTCCTCCTCCATCATCTTCCATCTCCTACGGCACCCGTTCCCCACGGAGGCCACCAACCTCGCCATCCAACCCATCTCTGCTCACTCTCTCTCTCACCCCATCTCCAAGGTTTCTCGCGTACTGGAGCCCCCGTGGGGGTTGGATCCCACTGGAGAGCCGCGGGCTGGCGGCTGTGGATGTGAACAGGAATTTGGGTTGTTCGGGCCAGTCGATTTGCAAAAGTTATTGAGGGCAGTAGGAGAGGATAGTGTGCGCGTGGAAGAGAGGATGCTCCCTCCGGTACCTGTACGGGCTGCCATCCCTGGTAAAACATGGGCCCTAGAGCAGTGTGCCATTGGAAGGGGAAGCCCCCAGGCCTCTGACTCTCATGGGTTGGAGGGGCACAGCCCACAAAGTCTGTGTTTCTGGACTACCTTGGACTTGCCCATCTTAATCTGCAAGGGCCCTGGGGCAGGGCTAGGCATTACAGCTGGATACGGTTCAGGGCTGAGCATCCTGCCACTGTCTGCTGCGTGGATCCTCGAGTCAGAGAACAAACCTCCTTCCCGCGCTGACCGCAGGCTTTGATGAGCATCCGGCTCGGGGTTGGCCTCTGGTTTCCCCCGTGGTTGTGTCCTGTGCTAGGTTCTTTTGTTTCTTTGGCCTGACGGTTGTTGTGTTTTCCCTTTTGAAGATAACATCCTCAGCACCCAGAAAAACAACGCCCCCTCTCCAAGCCGTGCTCACCGCAGCACCCAGGCAATGATCAGCTGCCCGGCCCAGAAATTGGCCTGCCATATCCAGCCGCTAAGAGCTGCCCTATGTCAGACGGCCTAGCAACATCCCTGTCAGCATCAGGCTGGCCTTGAGCCCAAGGGCGCCGAGTTGGTGCAGCAGTCTTAGAAAGGAGATGAGATCAGGCCCAGTCCGGATTTATGTCTGGCTCTGAACCTCCCCAGCTAACGCTGTTGCAGGTCTGCCTTGTGCGGCCTCTGAAGGGGGAGGATGGTCCAGGGCTTCAGGCTCCAGCCTGTGACCAGAGAGTTTGAGCCCCTGCCACAGACGCCATGTGTGACCCTGGGCATGTCACAGAGTCTCACTGTGCCTCAGTTTCCGCCCCCCGCCCCTCTAGGGGGTAATAGCACCAACCGGTGCTAGGGAGCTGTGGGAATACATTCCTGCCAGCCCACGAGGCACTGATACACCGGTGCTGGAGCAACAGAGACCCTGGATCAGTAGTGCACAGGTCTAAAATGCTAACGTGATGTCCATTCTTAAAAGGCCCCAGTGACGTGGTGATTGTCATCTCACCCAGAGCCCTTTAGAGAGCAATGGGAGTCTCTCTCTTGACTCCCGTAGACTTTGGATCTGAACGTGGTGGAGCCACAATGGGCTGAAAGAGGCTCCCGCACTCGGTGCCAGCTCCTGGGCCCAGGCATGCTGGGGAATGCTAGAAGCAGCGTCACCTACACTGGTTTTACAGCAGGGTGGAGAGGAAAGGAGTGAAATGGGAATCAAATTAGCTAAAAAGAAACCACTTTGGGCCTTTCCCACTCTGCCCACAAACCAGGCAGCACCCACTTGTGACACTAGCATGAAATCTGCTTGCCATCAGGAGATGTTGCAGTGTCGTGCCCTACGTGGCACATATCAAGTTGACACTACTGTGTCGTCAGTAGGGTCCAGAGTGAACACCCCGTTGAGATAGGCACAACCCACCCTGCCTTTCTCAGAGCTGGTCTTCCAGCCTGATTTCTGACGGCCCGTTTTCCTTCCTGCCACGTTTTAAAGGCAATCTTGTTCTCCAGGCTGAATATTCGCTGCGTGGATGACAGCGGAGGGTCTGCACTGTAGGAGTGCACTGACTCGCCCAGGTGCCAGGACCTGTCCCTGGTTGGTCCTTACCGGGGTCTCCCTGAGATTGAGACACTGTTGAGATGGTTTTGATTTACAGTTTCCCCCTAAGAGAGCCCCTCACGGTCCCGGCTTTGTTCTTATACATCCTTTTGGTTTCTCTTTATTCCTTGAGAGGTTTAATGTCTCCGTGTTTTTATTTGACCCACCCCCACCCCAGAGAGCTGGTCCTTATGTTTGAGCATTTGCACCGAGCCCGCAACGGAGGAATTAGGACCTCAGAGGTGAAAAAATTGCCTGACGGAGCCCCACTGCCTTATCACTGCTTCACCCCTGGCCAGAAAACCATCGCCCCCCTTCTTTGTGCGGGGGAAAGGTAGGGCGTAGCCCATGGCTGCTCCGTGTTGTGCCCGTTGTCTGTCTCCTCTTGTTGTTGGCCCTGTCTGTGTGTGTGCAGGGGCTTCTCCTGGCTGCTAAGGGCTTGTGTCCGTGTCTGGTGCCAGGTGGATGCCAGCCTGACTGCAGGCTGGCTCCTTGTTGTGCCTCCCTTGGCTGGACTGTGTTAGGAGGTGGATGTGTCTGCTGTTACCTCCAAGGTGATGGAGCTGGTCATTTTAGCTTACATAGGGCAGGCTTGATGCCGGTGTCCCTGGTTCAGGCCCTGGATCTGGCTCAAGTGCATTGTTACAGTGCAGACCGGACTGCAATATTACACACGCGCACATGTACACACGGCTGTGTCCAGATCTCCTCGTGCCAGCCAGGCTGGACCCCACATCTCCCAGGGGTCTCCATCCTCTCCAGCAACCCTGTTCGTCTTTGACTCCCAGCCCAGGTCCCTTGGACTGTTCAAACCTACCCAGCCTCGGTGTGGCAATGTCCCTGGGAACTTTGTTTGCTGGCAAGCCGAGTGCACGTGGAGCTGCGCAGCTGACACGGGTGTTGCAATCCCTGCAGTATAAATGACCAGGCTGATGAGCCTTCCAGTCTGTTTCCCTGCCTCCTCCTGGTGCCAGCACCAGGAAAAACAAATGCCCTTAAAGCCCAGCTTGCTCTGCAGCACGTTTCACTTTGTGCTATGCCGTCTCCCAGGTAAATCCCTTCCTCAGCTGCCCCTGGGGAGGGCAGAGCTCTGAGGCAGGAGGAAACAATGGCCTGTTTTTTATTCCTACCTGCTGGTGCTGTTCATAGAAAGGCTGAATCCTGTTTCGAATTGGACGGAGAGCTGCCCCCTGCAGCAGTGAGCTCCACAGGTGAACCAGAAGCTGGCTCGGCCCGATTCTCAAGGCATTGCCTTCCTCGTGTTGCTGAGCGCCCCTCTGCCTGGCGTTACAGGAAAGGGTGAATCAGACCTGTCTTTCTCTGCAATGAAACCTCCTGTCCTTTCTCTCTCCTCTTCTTCTTCTCCATCTGCCCTGGGCTCAGGCCCGAGCTGTGCACACACTAATGCCCGCGTCCACCGCTGCTGTTCTGTAGCCACCAGATCCCTTCCCAGCTGCCCACAGGGTAATCCCGCTGCCATCACTTGCCTTTTGCTTTGCTCCCCAGCCAGTCCTCATTTCCCCTACTAGTTTTCTCCCCCTGACTCCAGCCTTTCCCAGGGGAATATAAATGGGGCAGTTTTATTACAGGGCATTTTTCTATTGCTCACATTGAGGCAGCCTGCGGTTGGAGGCAGGTGCCTGTGCCAGCAGGGCCAGGGGGGTGTGAGCTATTTGATCACCAGCGCGGGCGTGCAGGGGTGGGAGAGCTGCAGAGCTGGGCAGTCCCTTGCTGTGAGTGAGCTGCCGTGGAGAAGGCGCACACCTGCCTTCTCACTCTGTGCTTGTGCACAAGGGCCCTGGGATGCACGGGACATGTTGGCGTGAAGGAGCATGGACCACCAATGACAGTGAAGGAAACAGCTGCTGGCTGCTGTTTCCTCTCTTCTCTCGGGTGCAAGCTTCTGGAGGAAACGCTTCCCCACAAGAGGATCCTTGGTCCTGGAGGTTCAAGGGTGTGGACGATACAAGAACCAGGCAGCTGGATGACCAGCAAGTGGGATGACCAGCCCCAGCGTCTGAGAGCCAGTTCCCCGGTTCAGCCAAACCCTACTCAGGAACGCCTTGCATGTGATTGGGATGCGTGTAACATCCCCGCCGACTGGGGGGCACAACACCCTCCAGGTAAACGGATGGGGCATGGTGCCCATCTGTCGCTGCCCTGGGCATCCCTTGGTGGTCCAGGGGGATTTCCTGGAGGCCAGTGGAGCCTGGGGGCTCGAAGGGGCATCAGTGACAGAGTGACATGAAGAGACGCCAGCTCCGGTTCCCATGCACGTGAAGATGTCTTGGAGTCCCCTGCATGGCGCCGTCTGCCGTGCTGGCTCTGTTCAGCCCGGGTTTGGGGCCTCTGCTTGCTCTTCAGTGATCCCCAGCAGGGATACGAGTGAATCAGCCAGGGAAGCTCCAGCTCTGTGTTCCCCAGGGGCAGGACTTATGTCTTGGGGATGCTGAATGGGCCCGATCCTGACATGGGAGAGTTGGCCGTGCGAGCAGCCCACCACAGATATGAATGAGGTGAATGAGCTTGGGCTTGATTTTTGTGGCTGCCAGGAGCTGCAGGACAGGAGATAGTTGGGATCCTGGTTGTCTGTGTGCTGGGGCTGAGCTCTGCCCTGCACGTCTACTTGCAGCACTGGTTTTCCTCCATCATTCAGCAGCATCCAGGAAACCCGCAGCCCCAGCTTGTCACCTTGTTAGGGGAGTGACGGCCCCCAGCCCTGGTGCACAAAGGGTTGGTGACCAGTAGGTCCGAGACATCTGCAAGTGAGGTGGGGACGGGACAGGAAACAGGGTTTCCCTTGCAGTGCTTCAGGGAGGGATTTGGGAGGTGGGCAGTGGGAGGCTGCTCCCAAAGTGCTCTGTGCCTCAGTTTCCCTGTTTGTGAAGGTGGGGCTGTTGTGACGGTTCCTGTGGACATCTCGGAGGTGGGAAGAGCTGAGTGCTGGGACTATACGCGCTCCCTGCTCCTGCCCAGGGGTTGCTGAACTGTCTCCAGCACAGGGTGCTGTGCCCACCTGGGGATTCACGGTAAACATGAAGCATCCTGCAGAATCAACCAGCCGGACTTACTCGGAGCTCCCTGCAGACTTCATGCCTGGGGTCCTGGGAGATGCTCTGGGCACTTGGGCTCATCTGCTCCATTGGGGACAACACAGGAGGCGAGCCACCCAGCACAGTCCATCGCCTTACCCAGAAGCTGCCTTGATCTGCTGCTGAAGAGCCAGTGCATGGGGACCTCCCAGGACAGCGTGGTGCTCCAGACCCCTGCCAGCCTGGCGCTGTGGGCTTTGAGGTCAGGCGGACATAAGAGGCCAGCTTCACCTGCAGCTGGCCTCGAGATGAGCCTGCAGCCGTGTGTGGTCCATCACCCCCAGCACAACCCCGGTTCAGGGGCACACAGCTGGGGCATGGACCACACTTAGGGGCGAGGGGGACTGGACTCCAGCAGTGCCACAGTCTTGATGATCCAGCATGTGGCCATCTTCTATCCCCAAGGGGGTTGGCCCTAAGGTGAGATGTTGATGGACCAGTCTGTGTATCCCTCCCCCTGGTCCAGATGTCCCCTTTTTACTAACATCGCCTCTCACGCCATTCTCATCTTTTTCTCTCCCCTCCTTCGCTCCCCCTCTCCACCTCCCCCCATCTCTCCCCTACCATGTCTTGCATTTCCATTCATTCCCGGAAGCTGGAAAGACGAAGACGTGCAGTCCCACAGGTGTTTACGTCTCAGGTAACCTTTCTCGACGCCGCGGTGCCTCTTTATTTCTTTCTCCCAAAGAGCCGTGGTAACGGTAGGTGCCCTCCGGAGGTTTTGCCACTCTCCAGGTGCTGCCCCGGGCGAGGCACACAAAGCCAAGACCCCCGTGGCGGGGGGCCAGGTGGAAAGTAGCCCGCGTGCTGCTGGCAGGGAATTTCGATCTCTCTTGATGTCTGCCGGGGGCCCATGGGAGGAGGGGCAGTGGCTCAGCTTCCAAATGCATCGCTGGCTGGTTCATTTCTATCTCCTCACCTGTTTTTTGCAGAGAGCTCCACTGCTGGGTAGCGGAACTCCTTCCTTCCTATGGGGAGCAAGGTGATTGTTTAAACAGGACCTACACAAACCACCATGGGTGGATCTAGGATTTTGCAAAGGGTGGGGTGCAGGTGATGTGACTCACATAACACATGCCTACTTTTATCAAGTTAACAAGAAGCTGTACTAATAAGCTCGCAGCCTCGGGCTGTATTATTCCTTTAAAGTTTGCAGCAAAAGCAATATACGTTTGCTGCAGCATTTATTACGAATACAAAAACCACAACAGACCGGGCAAAAAAATAATGTTGTTTCATTGGTTCTGTAGTCTTTAGGATTGAATGGGCATCTCCTTTTCAGATTCACAAAACAAAATCTAGCTGTCTCGAGCATCTTGACAGCGCATCCAATGCTTCCCTGAAAGTTATTTCCACCTGAGTTAATGTTTTTAGCCAGTCTGCAGGGCTGTGAAATAGGAGCTGCATTGCCAGGAGAGGGAACAGACAGCAAAATTGCCGAATAAAGAAGAGTTTAATTAGTGGAACATTTAAGGCAATTAAAAAAAAAAAAAAAAAA